GAGGGGGTGTGGGGGAGGGAGGGAGGGAGGGTACAGCAGGGTATGTGATAAATTTCCACTGAAGTTTTCCATAGACATATGACATTCATTCAGATGGACTGTAGGGGGAGCTCACGTGAGACAACACTTCAGTGATGCAGTTAATTGTTGTCATCACACCTTAATTGACTCAGTCAGATGTTTTCATGGGGCATTCATTTTGTCAGGGATTCATTTTCAGAGATGTGTGTGTGTGTATGTGTGTGTGTGGTGTGTGTGTGTCATCGAGAGAAAGGCAGCGGCGGTCAGAGAGGCTAATTTTAGAGAAGGATTATGATTGTAGATCACTTTATCTGGGGCAGACGAGCCTGAGCTCCAACTAGTGTCAAGTGTGTGTACACGTCTTTGTCTGTGTGTGTGTGTGTGTGTGTTCATTTTTCAGAATGGATTAAGTGTGTCTGTGTCTTTTTGGTTCTGATTCAATTAGGTTGTGTGTGTGTGTGTGTGTGTGTGTGTGTGTGTGTGTGTGTGAGACCCAGCCGTCGTCGACCAGAAGTTCTGTGCTGGTTTTAAAAGTTTCATCCAGTCTAGATTTTTCTCTGAACCTACAAAAACTTTCTTATTTTAATGAAGAAGAATATCCAACAAACTAAAGATTCAAATGATATCATTTTAGACAGACGTTGACCTTGGTCATGATGGAAATTAAACTCAAATTGTCTGAAATATTTGGTAGATTTTCTTAGATATTTATTTTTTCCGTCTTCAGCAGACAAGCAGCAGAAGGAGGTGTGGAGTTCACGGCTGCAGAAGTGGTTGTACGAGCGATTCGGCGTTTACATTGAAGACTTTCGTTTCCAGCCGGAGGAGAGCACTGTGGAAGCAGAGGAACCGCTAAGTGCAAAACGGTGGGAGAGAAATGTTTCTTTCTGTGTCTGTCTTTGGTTAGGCTAATCTGTTAGGCAGGGGGAAAAAATATTTATATCTTGCAAATATTTTTTCTTCGTTTGTCAATGCCTGGAAGGCAGAACAATTAAATACTTGTCACTAGGTGGCAGCAAATGGCTGTGAGAACTTAAAAAAAGAGGGAATCAGAGCTGTTGAAGAAGATCTTTGTGAGTGTCTTTCTTCAATTCCTGCGAGTTTATTAGCATTGTCTTTAAATAAACAGGCGAGATTTTAGTGAAATACCTAAGAGATCTACTTTTTGTCAGATTTTTGTTTGGTGGTCTGCCGTGGTGTTTTTCTAATGCAGAATATGTGCTGCGGCTCAAAAAAACGTTGGGAAACTCTGCTATATACAAATGGGTGGCTGCAGAAAAAAAGTTTGGGAAAAAAAGTTTGGGAAAAAAAGTTTGGGAACTTCACTTTTTTTTTCCTCGTACTTCTTCAAAGTTACTGCGTCATAACAAGCCTTGACGAAGGCCAGAGCAGAGAACCGTCTGTTCTCACATTTTCATTTTTGTACGGATCTTTTCAGGAACGTGCCGTGCACCCACACATTTGTTCTGACCTTCGTCTTTTTTCTCGTTTTTGTTGGCTTTCAGGTTGACAGAAAATATGAGGCGACTCAGTGAGTATTCAAAACACATCCCAGCTACACAACATACACGAGAAACCAAATTGACCTTCCGCGGATTGACTTAAAAATGTTACCTTCAACTATTGTGAAAATGAAAATAATAAAAAATGACTTGAAATCACTTGAAAAAAGCCTGACCCGTGGTTCAAAACACACACACAAAAAAAAGTTTTTATACAATCACGTATATGTTATAACTTCAGGGTAAAATATGAATTATATGTACATATTTATAAATGTATATTTTATATACTTGTATAAATATATTTATATATGTGTATATACATTTATATGTATAAATTGTATATATATATTTATAATACATATATAATACCTCAACTTGACGTACAAATACACAGATTGTTGTTCCACATTACAGAGCGAGGAGCCAGACCTGTCACCAACTTTCTGAGGAACCTCTCGGCCTTATCTAACTGGCACTCTGTCTACACTTCAGCTATCGCCTTCATTGTGAGTCTGCGCTTTATTCCTGTTTTCATATGTTTTGTCAGTAAAGCTGAGCATGTCGTGTCAGGTACATCGTCGATAATGAAAGAGATCTGGGGGGAAAGTTATTGTATGTTGTATATTTGTGTCAATACAAACGGCTGTGTTTTCTTTTTTTTGTTTTTTTAGATCTACATGAATGCTGCTTGGCACGGCTGGGCCATCCCCATGTTCCTCTTCCTGGCTATCCTGCGCCTGTCCTTAAATTACCTCATTGCCAGGTACAAAAAAAAACCCCCCAAAAAAACTACCTAACTCGTAGCGAGAGTATGTGTAAAATTAATAAAAGTTGTAAAAAGAGACTAACCTAGAATAAGCCATATTTACATTTCTGACCTGTTTGCAGAGGTTGGAGGATCCAGTGGAGCATCGTGCCTGAGGTCTCTGAACCAATGGTAAGGCTGCGTTTTATTTTCTCTCTTTCACCATCCTTCTATTAAAAAACAAAAGTCGGGATGTCTGATAATACCGGCCAACCGATATTATCGGTCCGATATTAGCATAATTATTTAATGTGTAAGAATTGTTATCGTTTTTGTTTTTTCCGATACTGAAAATCCAATAACGCAATGCCTAGGATTCGCTAAATATGTTGAAATCACTAATCCTTAGATATTTAACACAGTTTTAGGGGGGAAAACGGGGTCATTGGAATCAAAAAAGTCTTTGGACAAATCAGCATCTCGGACATAAAAAAATGTTAGCTAATGTTCAAATGTCTTTTCTTTTTATGCAGGAGCCTCCAAAGGAAGACTTAACTGTGTCGGAAAAGTTCCAGCTGGTACTTGATGTTGCACAAAAAGCACAGGTGGAACCAATATTCAATATTTCTTTAGAACTGAGTAGTCATTTATTAGTGTTTCATGAAGTTTTTCTTTTCTCTTTCCAGAACCTTTTTGGGAAGATGGCAGATGTTTTGGAAAAGATCAAAAAGTAGGTATTTTTAAAAAAAACACTTTATTAAAGTTGTTCCATTAAAAAGACTTAAATGTTAACACTGACTTGTTTCCTGTTTTCTTCTTCTTCTATTCATCAGTCTGTTCATGTGGGTGCAGCCGGAGAGCACCCGCAAACTCTACATCTGCCTGTGGGTGGCGTTCATCGCCTCCTGCGTGCTGCCGTACAAACTGATGGGTTTCATGATGGGTGAGAGCCGTGCAGTAACACCAACGATGTGCTCAAAAACTGACCACTTTGTGCCCGTGTGCCTCCATAACTCTGACTTAAACTTTTATGTCACCAGAGACCGTGAAATGTGCACGGTACTGTAAGAAACCGTGTAAAAGAATTTAAATTAGAAACCATATATTGCATGTTTCAAACTTAAGGGGCGTGGGCCAAATGCGGCAATCAATTTTAGTTTTAAGAGTTTTATTTAACCTGATAAATTAAAAGTTGTTGTTTTTTATTACACAGAGCAACGTACAATATTTATAACGTACCATTTGCAAAAGCATTAATTAAAATGTCATGGAGTTAGTTACATCTTTACAGTCTTCCACTACCATCTAACTCTGAAAATAAGTTTGACAGCTCTGGTATAAAATAAGCTGTGATTCAATATGAAAAATGTTTTTTATAGATTTCAAAAATACCTGACTTTGGTAAAAGAAGAAGTAGAAGTGGTGAATATCAGTTCATCACAGCCTTTGGAGAAAAAAAAAACCTGTCTGTTTCCTCCCACTAGGGCTGTATGCTGGCATCAAATTCTTCATCATAGACTTCATCTTCAAGAGCTGTCCGAAGCTGAGGGACAAGTACGACACGCCTTACATCGTGTGGAACAGTCTGCCCACTGACCCGCAGCTCAAAGAGAGGACCAACGCCACCATGTCACGGAGGGTGAGGGATCCAAACCCACAACTGATTATTACCTTCGGTGCTTTAGTGACCTTTTTTTTTCTCTCTCTCTTTCTCTCTTTACTTCCCAAACACACGCGTGGCTTTTGACTCTTTAATTCGTCCACTGTCATCAGCCGTGTCAACTCAGTCACTGTGCGTTAGCCGTTAGCCGTTTTAGCTGCCAGGCTAAATCCAAACGCAGCATTAAAACCACCATTAAATGGTGGTTGAATGAAGAGGCGACGCGGTGGTTTATGACCAGGCTCCAGGTCGTTGTTAGAGTCGAGTCAAGAACCAGAGGAGTCCATGAAATATTGAATCACTGTCCAACCTCGTTACACTGTCTACATGTGTGTGTGTGTGCGTGCGTGTGTGTGTGTGTGTCTGTGGCCTCAGTCACAGTTAAACTCTGTCGTTTCTTTCTCTCAGCTCTCTGGCATTGAGAGGGTAGGGCGTGTAGTGTGTGTGTGTGTGTGTCTGTGTGTGTGTGTGTGTGTGTGTGTGTGTGTGTGTGTGTGTGCTTTCACCATCCTTCTATTAAAAAACAAAAGTCGGGATGTCTGATAATACCGGCCAACCGATATTATCGGTCCGATATTAGCATAATTATTTAATGTGTAAGAATTGTTATCGTTTTTGTTTTTTCCGATACTGAAAATCCAATAACGCAATGCCTAGGATTCGCTAAATATGTTGAAATCACTAATCCTTAGATATTTAACACAGTTTTAGGGGGGAAAACGGGGTCATTGGAATCAAAAAAGTCTTTGGACAAATCAGCATCTCGGACATAAAAAAATGTTAGCTAATGTTCAAATGTCTTTTCTTTTTATGCAGGAGCCTCCAAAGGAAGACTTAACTGTGTCGGAAAAGTTCCAGCTGGTACTTGATGTTGCACAAAAAGCACAGGTGGCACGAATATTCAATATTTCTTTAGAACTGAGTAGTCATTTATTAGTGTTTCATGAAGTTTTTCTTTTCTCTTTCCAGAACCTTTTTGGGAAGATGGCAGATGTTTTGGAAAAGATCAAAAAGTAGGTATTTTTAAAAAAAACACTTTATTAAAGTTGTTCCATTAAAAAGACTTAAATGTTAACACTGACTTGTTTCCTGTTTTCTTCTTCTTCTATTCATCAGTCTGTTCATGTGGGTGCAGCCGGAGAGCACCCGCAAACTCTACATCTGCCTGTGGGTGGCGTTCATCGCCTCCTGCGTGCTGCCGTACAAACTGATGGGTTTCATGATGGGTGAGAGCCGTGCAGTAACACCAACGATGTGCTCAAAAACTGACCACTTTGTGCCCGTGTGCCTCCATAACTCTGACTTAAACTTTTATGTCACCAGAGACCGTGAAATGTGCACGGTACTGTAAGAAACCGTGTAAAAGAATTTAAATTAGAAACCATATATTGCATGTTTCAAACTTAAGGGGCGTGGGCCAAATGCGGCAATCAATTTTAGTTTTAAGAGTTTTATTTAACCTGATAAATTAAAAGTTGTTGTTTTTTATTACACAGAGCAACGTACAATATTTATAACGTACCATTTGCAAAAGCATTAATTAAAATGTCATGGAGTTAGTTACATCTTTACAGTCTTCCACTACCATCTAACTCTGAAAATAAGTTTGACAGCTCTGGTATAAAATAAGCTGTGATTCAATATGAAAAATGTTTTTTATAGATTTCAAAAATACCTGACTTTGGTAAAAGAAGAAGTGGAAGTGGTGAATATCAGTTCATCACAGCCTTTGGAGAAAAAAAAAACCTGTCTGTTTCCTCCCACTAGGGCTGTATGCTGGCATCAAATTCTTCATCATAGACTTCATCTTCAAGAGCTGTCCGAAGCTGAGGGACAAGTACGACACGCCTTACATCGTGTGGAACAGTCTGCCCACTGACCCGCAGCTCAAAGAGAGGACCAACGCCACCATGTCACGGAGGGTGAGGGATCCAAACCCACAACTGATTATTACCTTCGGTGCTTTAGTGACTTTTTTTTCTCTCTCTTTCTCTCTTTATTTCCCAAACACACGCGTGGCTTTTGACTTTACTTCCCAAACACACGCGTGGCTTTTGACTCTTTAATTCGTCCACTGTCATCAGCCGTGTCAACTCAGTCACTGTGCGTTAGCCGTTAGCCGTTTTAGCTGCCAGGCTAAATCCAAACGCAGCATTAAAACCACCATTAAATGGTGGTTGAATGAAGAGGCGACGCGGTGGTTTATGACCAGGCTCCAGGTCGTTGTTAGAGTCGGTCCGTCTGCGTTCAACGCCGACAAGAACCAAAGGACTCCATGAAATATTGAATCACTGTCCAACCTCGTTACACTGTCTACGTGTGTGTGTGTGCGCGTGTGCGTGTGTGTGTGTGTGTCTGTGGCCTCAGTCACAGTTAAACTCTGTCGTTTCTTTCTCTCAGCTCTCTGGCATTGAGAAGGTAGGGCCTGTAGTGTGTGTGTGTCTGTGTCTGTGTGTGTGTGTGTGTGTGTGTGTGTGTGTGTGTGTGTGTGTGTGTTGTTCCTCCATACTGTGTCTGTGATGTCAACTCACCTCCCGTGTGTGTGTTCTACTGTGTGTGTGTGTGTGTGAGCGCGGGGGGCGATGTCTGGCAGACTCCAGCTGGTTCGGGGCTTAGAAACAGAATGGATCAAAATGTCATAATAATCTATAACCTAAAGTTAAAATATAAGTTTTAAAATGTTCTTTAAACTTGAACATCATTTCTAATTCCTGCCATAAAATAAATGATACATTTGACATTTTTGATCCACTAATGTAGATGCTGTGGGGGAGAAGTAGCAGCAGTTTGATTCAAACAAACCCTGTTTCAGAAACTAAAGTTTGAAAGTTTGAAAGTGTGTTTAGCAGGTAAGAGGACAAAGACAAAATCAGGCAATAACAAAAAACAAAAATAGGGGTCACTATTTTACCACTTTGAAGTTTGAAAGTTTGAAAGTGTGTTTAGCAGGTAAGAGGACAAAGACAAAATCAGGCAATAACAAAAAACAAAAATAGGGGTCACTATTTTACCACTTTGTAATGTCCGATACTGTAACTTGGAGTATCTGACGATACTAATATCAATCCGATACCTTCTTTTCTCATCGGACTGCCGTTACTTACGGCATTTCTACGACAACTTTTCCATAGTTCGATCATGGAATTTTGACCAGTATCGGATCAAAATTTGGTGTTTCTGGGTTTTAGATTAGATTAGATTAGATCAGATTAGATTAGATTAGATTATCTTAAACCTTATTGATCCTGCACTGGAGAAACAGTTTTGTGGGATCAATAAAGTTCAGTCTAATCTAATCTTTTCTGTCACAGACTGTGTTCTCACATGTTCTAGAAAACCTGGAAAATACAATCTCAACTATGATTAATCACGATTAATTGCTATCTTAATAAGTCACAATTAATCATGTTGCATCAAAATAAGAAATGAACAAAATTTATTTTTTGTATCCTTTACTCTCAAATTCTTTTTAATATTATTTTTTTACAGTGATGCAGGTAACAATTAAAATTTCAATTTTTTTTTGTCCTTCTACCTGATGAACTTTTTTTTTTTTTGTCCTTCTACCTGATGAACATTACAGTGTTTGAAATCAGCTTTTTTAATCACTTTTAAGGAAATGGGGTTTGTAGTTGACATGCACATACTGTAGAGTAGTACCTCGACCAGTACAGGGAAGTAGCTCATACTGTGTACACTGTAGTTTTCTTTCCTTAATTTTGCAGTATTTTCCCCCGTAGTCTAGTCACCTTTACTGATTATTTGTTGTCGTCCAATTTCCTTCAACCTGTAAAAATAATGTTGTCAATTTAAAAATAACTATGACAGTTTTTTTAAACTGTGAGAGTCGGACTTTGTCCGTCCACGCCTAAATCTGCTGCACGTTCTGAGAGGCACAAGTTGAGGTTCTCGCAGGTCTACGGAGATTCAGGTTCTGTTGGGACAGAACCACTCTGTTCTGTCAGCTCTCCCTCTTCTCTGCTGTCTCGGTTTTTCTTTCAGAAATGTCTTTTCCTATTTCTAGTCTGACTTTTAATCATACTCTTTATTTTTGCCTTACATCTCACCTCCCTTCCTCCCTCCTCTGTCTCCCCCACCCCCTTGTTCTCCATCTCTCTCCACAGGTACAGCCGGTGGTCTCTCGCAGCAGCCTCGCCACTGTCCCCTGTGGCGTCAGCCGGGAGGAGGAGGCCGGTCGCTCTCACAGCACCAAGAAGGGTGCCTTTCATGAAATTTTCAACCTGTCAGAGTCAGAGCGCCCTCTGGGGGGTAAGGAATGCTACTGCACTTTTTTTTCTTTTTTTCTTTTTTTTTAACACTTTTTTTCTTTTTTTACTTTTTTTTAACCATAAATGAATTTGCATTTTTTTTCTTTCTTTTATTGTTTTATTAAAGATCATTCATTAGTCTCTTTACTCTGTGTGTCGTCAGTGTGTGAGAACGGCTGGAGGTGTTGCCTCATAAACAGAGACAGGAAGATGCCGACTGACTACATCAGGAATGGAGTCCTTTATGTCACAGAGAAGTAAGTAGGGCGTCTGTCTCCCCCTTCTGTCCGTTATTATTAACTGACACCTGATGCTGACACAATAACTGCAGTCTGGCTCCATCTATTGGTCAACCTATCAGCTTCAATTATATTTTAAATGAACACATGATCAACTGATGACGTTTCTGCAGCTCATGACTTGTTTCACAAACATAATTAGACCAGTCAGGCCGTTGATTAGCCTCTTAGCTAAACTAGCCTTGGTCACATGGTCGTAGCTCGTGGTCTTCCGGTTTGTTTGTGTGTGTCAGTATGGAATGTTTCTGATCTGTGAACCCCTTCGACACTTTATTTATTTAGCTGACAAAATGTGCGATAACGTTCTAGTTAGTTTGGTCTCTTTTATCCCATGATTCATTGCAGCTTCTTGTCTCCTTCCTTTTCCTCAGTTACCTGTGCTTCGAGAGCTCCAGTTCCAGATCCAGCGCCTCTAAAAAGAACAAAGTCATCAAGCTGGTGGACATTACTGACATACAAAAGGTGAAACGCACTCAAAAATACACATGCATAAATGGGTCAGATTCAGGTCAGAATAGAGCGTTGAATCCATCTGTGTTAAAACGTGCTTCAGTGACAGGTTTTTTAAAAAAGATACTGAAGTTGATTTTTTTTTTTTTTTGGTTTCTCACATTTTCAATATCTCCACAGTACAAAGTGCTTTCAGTCCTACCAGGAAGTGGGATGGGCATCTCCATAGCCACTCCCTCTACTCAGAAGGTAGAGTCCACTCATCTTTGTGGTTCTTTTCACAAAATGTTTTTTTTAAACTGAATACATTTATTTTTTAAATTCTATATTTGCTTCTCTTTATAAAACTTTTAAAGTATTTTTTTCCCAGAAAAATATTTTTAAAGCTCTTTCTGTTTGTTCATGTACTGACTACTCATGTTTTATGACTTTTTTTTACGTTTATTAATAATTACGCTTTAATAATAATAACCTAAAGTCAGTGCAAGTTAATGCATTATTATTGTTAATTTATTAAGTAATTAATACTGGCATAAAATAATAAATATAATATACATTAAATATAACAAACAAAAATAAAATATTATTAATATTAATAATATAAAACCACATTAATATACCACAGAATAATAGTTTTTGAGTGAATATACATTTTTAGAATTTATTTACATTTTTCCCATTTTCCTCCAGCCATTGGTGTTTGGTGCCATGATCCACAGAGACGAGGCGTTTGAGGCCATCTTCACACAGTACATGAAGATCATGACCACCTCCAACCCCCCAGACTGTGCAGAGATCTAGACTGACCGTGTCCTCGCAGCGCTGCTCTGCACTGGGGCTGAAACCCTGAGGCCGAACTCCTCATCAACTAAGAAGAACCTCCTGAACATCACACCTGACTTTGCCCCGGCTCGACGCCTGCCCCTCAGGCGACGGGTTCATCATCCACGGCCACGTCCATCGCCACATTGGATCAACGGCCGCCTTCCTGCGTAAAACACACACGTGAGGAGATGGGAGTGTGAAGTCGGTCTCACGTGTGTATCTGACAATGGACAGAATTGGTGTTGTCATTCGTGAGGAGCTTTAGTGTGGTTTTAACCAATCAGCAGAAGTCTGAGGAGGGGGCTGGTTCTCCTCCTGCTTCACTGACCAACTGACTGGTCTCTGACCTCCAGTACCTGAGTCCATGTCTGCTCGTTTGACTGCCTGTGTGTGTGTGTGTGCGCGCGAGTCTCATTGTGCGTGTGTGGTTTTTAGAAGTGCTCCCCCTGGTTGTCATTGAATATCACAAAAAAAAACTACAAGACGAAAGAAACAACTTCTTTTAACTGCCAGACATTTGTAGGAACATTTTGATTCATAAATTTGTGTAAAAAACAAAAGAAAAAAAAAACACTAAGGAAATATCTGACCATCACACCGGCTGATTAGTGCCGCTAGGCGTTGTACGACAAAATCCTTAATGTGACTGGATAACTTTTTTTTTTCTTTTCTTTTTTTAATGTGTATTAGCGGAGAAAACGTCAGATTAGCGTCGGACTGACACGCAGCCTTTTTGGTAGTTTACGTTGCTTCTGTCTTGACTTCCCCCACCGTCTCTGCCGACACATTTCAGCAGCTCCGGTGTTTGTCCATCGCACACGGGACGACACGCTCCAGTGTTTGTAAGTGTACGTTTATGACATGTAGAGTCTGAAGTGTGTTTTGGTTTCATA